TGCTGGTAAGCAGTATGACTTATATCGCCCACAACTCACTTGTGTTCTACTCGTGCATAACATCAACGCATAAAACCTAGGCTCGGATGCCACTGTTGGGGAACGTAGTAATTTCAAAAAAATTCCTACGCACATGCAAGATCATGGTGATGCATAGGAACGAGAGGGGAGAGTGTTGTCTACGTACCCTCGTAGACCGGAAGCAGAAGCGTTAGCACAACGCGGTTGATGTAGTCATACGTCTTCACGGCTCGATCGATCAAGCACCGAAACTACGACACCTCCGAGTTCTAGCACACGTTCAGCTCGATGACGATCCCCGGACTCCGATCCAGCAGAATGTCAGGGAAGAGTTCCGCCAGCACGACGACATGGTCATGATCTTGATGTTCTACCGTCGCAGGGCTTCACCTAAGCACCGCTACAATATTATCGAGGATTACGGTGAAGGAGGGCACCGCACACGGCTAATAGATCTCAAGGATCAATTGTTGTCTAGAGGTGCCCCCTGCCCCCGTATATAAAGGAGCAAGGGGGAGGGGCGGCCGGCCAGGAGGAGGCGCGACAGGGAGGAGTCCAACTCCTACCGGGAGTAGGACTCCCTCCTTTCCTTGTCCAACTAGGAGAGGGGGAAGGAAGGGAGAGAGGAGAGAAAGGAAAGGGGGGGGGCGCCCCTGCCTCCTTGTCCAATTCGGACTAGAGGGGGAGGGGCGCGCAGCCTGCCCTGGCCGCCCCTCCTCTGCTCCACTTTGGGCCCATGAGGCCCATTAACCCCCGGTGGGGTTTCGGTAACCCCCGGTACTCCGTTTTATATCCGATAACTCCCGGAACCATTCCTGTGCCCGAATATAGTCGTCCAATATATCAATCTTTATGTCTCGACTATTTCGAGACTCCTCGTTATGTCCGTTATCACATCCGGGACTCCGAACAACCTTCGGTACATCAAAATATATAAACTCATAATGAAACTGTCATCGTAACATTAAGCGTGCAGACCCTACGGGTTCGAGAACAATGTAGACATGACCGAGACACGTCTCCGGTCAATAACCAATAGCGGAACCTGGATGCTCATATTGGATCCTACATATTCTACGAAGATCTTTTATTGGTCAGACCGCATAACAACATACGTTGTTCCCTTTGTCATCGGTATGTTACTTGCCCGAGATTTGATCGTCGGTATCTCATTACCTAGTTCAATCTCATTACCGGCAAGTCTCTTTACTCGTTCCGTAATACATCATCCCGCAACTAACTTATTAGTTGCAATGCTTGCAAGGATTAAGTGATGTGCATTACCGAGAGGGCCCAGAGATACCTCTCCGACGATTGGAGTGACAAATCCTAATCTCGAAATACGTGAACCCAACATGTACCTTTGGAGACACCTGTAGAGCACCTTTATAATCACCCAGTTACGTTGTGACGTTTGGTAGCACACAAAGTGTTCCTCCAGTAAACGGGAGTTGCATAATCTCATAGTCATAGGAACATATATAAGTCATGAAGAAAGGAATAGCAACAAACTAAACGATCAAGTGCTAAGCTAACGAAATGGGTCAAGTCAATCACATCATTCTTCTAATGATGTGATCCCGTTAATCAAATGACAACTCATGTCTATGGTTAGGAAACATAACCATCTTTGATCAACGAGCTAGTCAAGTAGAGGCATACTAGTGACACTCTGTTTGTCTATGTATTCACACATGTATTACGTTTCTGGTTAATACAATTCTAGCATGAATAATAAACATTTATCATGATATAAGGAAATAAATAATAACTTTAGTATTGCCTTTAGGGCATATTTCCTTCAGATTGTACATCTAGTTGAGCGACAACAAGCTCTAGAGGAGATCTCTTCAGGGAGATATGATAGTTTCATCATCCTCGAAAGATTGGCAAGTACATTTTGGTCTTCTAGCTGGGAAACTAATATCGAAAACAACTTGCGGCCACAACTATTAGAAAAGGACTCACGGACTTCGGCGGGGATAAGTAGAAGGATGTGAAGCATGTAGTGCTAGCAAAAGCCATCGATGGAGGTGGTGTAGAGATCTTTGGAGGAGTTACTCGCCTGATTGTATGGAAAGCACCACCGCCATCAAGATATCTAGTTGTATTCAGTTCTCTAGCGGTAGGCTTTTGTTGGTGCTTTTAGAGAGCTCTTTCATGTTTGCACAAATTTTACAACCAGCGCGGTGAATATATCAACAATTTTATTTGTCGGATTCACATATTCTTTACCAGCCGGATTCCCTTAGGCTTCGCATATTCTATATCAACATGATTCTAAAATTTAGGGAAAGCACACAGAAATAGTACTCCCTCCGGTCCTTTTTAGTCTGCATATAAGTTTTGTCCAAAGTCAAAACATCTCTACTTTGACCAAACTTATAAGAAAAATATCAATATTCACAATGTCAAATCAACATTTTTAGATTTATTATGAAACGTAGTTTCATATATATATTTGGTATTGTAGATGTTGATACTTTTTAATATAAATTTGGTCAAACTTTGTGAAGTTTGACTTGACAGAAATCTAATACACAAAGTAAAAAGGACAGGAGAGAGTACAGGATAACATGCATGAGATAGTGATGAGCATTTGTATTTTTCTCTCGAGCTATAGATTGAATTTGTTTTCTATGGAGTTTATGATAGTATAATATTATTGTCATAAAACATTGGAATGTGGATTTTGTACTATGGAGGGCGCATGTTCCTAGTATTCAATTTTCAATACTGAGTTGAAGAGTTTCAAAAGGTCAAAAAATATAGTGTGTAAATATTACAGTGTGTCGTGTGCCAAGCAAATGTATTTGGATTTCCACTAAACTTCAAAATGAACTTGATTCGTTAGGTGGATTTCCACTAAACTTCAAAATGAACTTGATTCGTTAGGATGAAAGACTAAATTTATTTTATTTTATGGATGTGTGCAAAATCTTCTTGTCTTTGACAAGGGAGCATCTGCGTGCATAGTTGGATTCTTTTGTGATTTTCTATTCACAACCAATATTTTTTAAACACATTGTCTAGAGCCTGCAGATTGTAGCTTGGAGGCAGTCTCGCCATTTCCTTGGAACTAGTACTCCCCCGTGTTTATTTACTCTGAATTGTAGTTTTGTATGAAGTCAAACTTTATAAACTTTGAGGCAGTTTCTAGAAAATATATTAACATATATAATACCAAATCGATATTATTATAATCATCATTCCATATATTTTTCACGACATATAGTTTTTTTACTGTGTAAAATGTACATATTGTTTTCTCCGAACTTGGTCTGACATTTTAAGGTTTGACCTCAGTCAAAGCTAATATATGTGTAAATTAAAATGGAGGGAGTATTAGGAGGCAACTTCCTTCAAGATGCACACATGTTTCTCTTACATGAAATTTGGATGCTCATTTGCCCTTAATTCATAGAGTGTAGGTTGTTGTATAACAATAACAATAAAAGATCTACATCCAGTATAGCGACAAACTATGTCTGAATGTACGGACCTTTTAAACATGCTATTTACAGAACAAACCATGTTGACATCACTGACACTAACCAAAAGCAAACGGTACTGGCGAGAAAAGGCCCATTTGAACGCCCTTCCTCTGCCTAATTAGAAATGGTTATTGCTGAAACTACAGATAATGAAATAAGTTTACAGATCATTAGAATTAGGTCATCACTTCAATATAAAGAAAAAAATAACACCCTCTCCTCCAAATTTTTTTTTCTCATTTTGCTTATTTTGCCCCCCATCGACTATTTTATCTATTGTAGCCCCCATCGGTTTATATAATGACAAAATAATTGTAGGAGATTTACAAAAAAAC